TAAAAATGTAAATCAACATGAATGAAAAGGTTAAATTTACAATGGATGTGGAGGATATTTGCTTTGAACCGACTCGGGAAACGGTTGATGAGAAGTCAACTGTAGGAATTATCCTTAACTTCCAGTCTTATTAATAATTAGTGAAGGAAGATTGGAATACTCAGAAGGTTATTAAGAAGCCTACGACTAGCCAATACTGAGCTCTGAGAGGATGAAACGAAATAATTGGATCAGATATTTCTTGAAAAAAGATATTCCGAAGAGGTTATACAACGCAACATGCGGATCGTGATGGGCAAATGACAGGAAGGGGACTATGAAAGGAAAGCATGGGAGGCATCTTGCTCCGTATCTAAATACCTTTTGCTTGTTTAGAAATAGTAGCTAGACAGTTTTTTAATGAACCCGGATCCAGTTCTATTCTCAATTATACATATGGCAAGGAAGTTGGTCAAGCAGGTTTGTTTCGGCGGTTGTGTTAACAAGGCTCATGCAGACTTGAAAATGATGTACAGCCTAGATCTGAAAACTTTGGGGGACCAAGGCTATTTTGTCTTTGAAAGCTGGAATACGAGGCCCTTGACTATACAGGCGATAAACAGCGACCGTAACTCATATAACTCGAATTGGGGTTCCTCTTTTACTAAATATTAAAATATCTTCCTCACCACATTTTCTGGTTATTTTTAGCTACTGGGTTGTCTAATCCTGGTTGTGATACCTCAATCTGCAGTGCAAAACTTTTATGATGGGGCTTCTTGAAATAGTATTAATGTAGCTGCATGAGTAGAGATAGGGGCAGATTGCATCGTCCTCCAATCACTAAGATCTGTACCTCATATGCGCAGCTAAAAGCAATACAGCCCTCAATCACTTTACATAGGATGAACGAAGCCTTATAAAGGTCCACAATCTCTTTAGAGCTATATATATTCCTGTCAGATGTGATCTGCGAGAGTCGTCGTGTGAAACCAGGACTGTCTTTAAATTTAAGTGAAGCTAAAAAGCGCCTAGCTTGGTGTTAACGTGTACAATCAGTTGGAATAGACTAGCCAAACACACATGGACTATTTAATAGGGATCAGGCATATTCCTGTTGGCGCCTCCCATTGTTATTAATTAAGCCAACTTCATAAACTCAACAGAGAACGATCAAAACCATTCATCTGCTCTCAATTACTTATGCGTAGAATTTTAGGACCCATAGGATAAGCCGAGGTTTGCAGCATTGCATAAATTACGCAGAACTGGAAAGTGAACGCGCTCCCATGACAGAACGCTAGACCGCTGAACGCCTGTGCCCACTTGGGATCATTATAAATAACATGGTTAGTGTGATTTATTAAGAACTATCATTCATTCTCACTCAGTTAAAGCAAGCTCCATAAATTAATTATTACGACGAAAGCTAGTAAATGAAATGATGTGATGACTTGCTTGTGAACTTCGATTTAATGCCTATATAGACTGATATTCCGGAAAACAAAGGAGCGCAGACTAACATTATAATTGCGTCCCAAAATTATAGTAGGTGTACAGGGATTCAATCACTAGATTAACCAATTTATTTTCAAACAATGCCTTCAATGGTGAATTGTACGAACGAGCATGTTTGCATAGACCGTATTTTAGCTAATAGCTAAAACTAAAAATTCACTCCTAATTCCAAAATTTATGGACATGTATATGAGGGATCATTTTTCTGTTTGGCAACGCGAGAATGGTGTCGGAAGAATTTCTTGGGCTAGTAAATAGGATAACTAAATTTACTATGAATTTAGGATAAGCTAAAGTTTCTGGATCTGGCAAGCAAGGCAGGCAATGAAATGGAGTTTTTTTATCTACTAGTTATGCTTTGGGATCAAAGTATTCGTTTTGAGATCTGTGATAATAAAAAGTAAATGTCTAGAAGATGTAAATCAATGGGCTGAGGAAACGGTACGATTGCGAAATATATTAGTTCAAAATAACTATCAATTACGATTAATATAAATTACTCTGAATAGCTTAGGGTGATGCAAGAGCTGAGAGACAAGTTTATTCTCTAAAAAAATAGCCTAACGACTCCAACGAATTCCACATAGCCTTACTTCGCAAGATGCCCTTTCATCCAGACTAAACTGCAGTTTCTACATCGCTTGGTTCTCATCACCACTCATTGATAAGGTTCAATGCCGGGATCGTCGATTAAGCGAATATTGTAGGAAGCAGCTTTGATCACAGCAACATCTTGCATCGATTTCTCTTATCCGCAAGCGTATACGATAAACATGAAGTAGTCATTCAAATCATGAGGCCTCATTAAGATGGTAAAGTTAAAAAAATTCAGGTTTGTACTCGGCTAGTCTTTTAAACTACTGGTAGATGTTTTTGTTAACTATTTTGTCCCGTCCTGATAATGTCTAATATCGCACACGAAAGGTCAGCACGGATAAATTGGCGTCTCAGAATGGCGAGCCGAGTGCTTGTTTACACAATCCAACAGTCTTCATTCAAATGCAATTTTCATCCAGTTTCTGATGAGACAAATTCTTGCATCTAAATAAAAATTTGAGACACACAAAATATGAATTTTTGCCATTTCGCAACCATCTCAAACCGAGGAAATAAATGAAGGATTCAAGAGAATGAATGTTTGACAAGGTAAAAAATGTAATAGCAGGTGCCCAAAAGGCCGAACATATTAGTTTAAATGCAATCACAAACACTTCAGAAAGTCTATCTTGGCTGGAAGCATAGTTTTAGTCAGATAGCTCCTGCTTTGCCAACCTGCTCCTTGAGTATACGAATGCTCCTTCTCTGGTCATCAGGTAGCATAGCAATTTGCTCTTCACTCAGCTGAAGAACCTGCATAATTAGAGTGATTTTATCCTGCTCTGCCTGTCCAGCCAAGAGACTATTTGAGCCCATACTGGCAGCCGCAGCTGCTGCCATGGCTGGCGAGATCTAGATGGGGTGAGCGTGTTACAAAACATTTGAGCCATTGACAATGATAAGGTATCGGTCATGAGTGCACAAGGTAGAATGGAGTGAAAAATGAATGTTTAGACGAGAGGGGAGCAAATAAGACAGGAAGACATTATCAAGAACTAATATTAATGATAAAAAGTAAGTCTCAATTTACAATGGATGTTTTATAAGTTTAACTAGCAGTGATTTTCATACAGTGTAAAGGCGATAAGCCAGAAAGATGAAATAGTCCCCATTGGACAGCGGAAATGTATAATCCATCAAATAGTAGAATGTGCAAATTGAATCAGATTCATTTGCAAGGTAATTTTCCTCAATTTAAATAGTATAAACAAAGTGAAGCAAATTTAGAAATTTCCCAAATAGTATTTTGGTCAAAGAAACGCAGTTCAAATGTCTGGCCTCGACCCAAATTGAAATGTTTTCCAAACAGATCAACACGCATATTAACCAAATTATTAATAAAATATCCACATAATACGCGATTAGCATATATTCATATTGAGTATAATCTTTAATAGACTGTATTAACCCTAGATCGATTAATCTGATTTAAGGACAGATAGTGGACCTTTCCCACAGTAAGATGAATATCCATCATAATACCAGTGAGTTTTAATTAGCCCGGGTATACTCGCCTGGATCTCGTCAGCCCCCACAGAGGGATTCAATATCATATCTTGAATAGCGTAGCAATTTTAGCACTCAATTACACGGATACAGACGCCAGTAGGTCACAGGGTAGATGTGAAGTTCAGAGCAAGCCAGGCCAAATCACATTTATAATGAGAATGCCTATTAAGCACACAAGTATTTGCAATCGCAATCGGCGATGTTAATTATTTTCTGTATACGCAGGTATTTTAGCGCTCGGGATCGTGTAATGGAATGATAAAGTTACCATGATACTGAGAATTCGGTATCAGATCCCGCCAGGGATGCTGAAGAGATCCAGGTGAGATCGAAACTACAGTCCATCCTGATTAAGATAAGCTTTTGGGAGACAGGGCTAAGTGAAATTCAATGGCATTGAGAGGCCCACATACCTTGATCCATAAAAACTCAACTACCAGTACTTAAAAGCCTTTAACGGCCTCGAGGTAGCCTAACAAGCTACTCATATTGAAGATAAGGTGGCAAAAGACTGATAGTTGAGCTCTACCACAATGATATATCCATAGGCTTCATGATGTCACTGAGGCCTACTAATTGTATAATACTTAGGTCAAAGGCTTGCATAGCTAAAACTGCCTTGATAAAATACGAAAGAGTGAAGAAACTCTAATATAAAAAGGCGTG